CAGACGCGCGCTTGGAGCTGTGCCACGCGGCGCGGGCGAAGCGCGCGTCTGATTGTTATGCATTGTGTTTCTCGTCGCGAGCGGAGCCGGGCGGAATGGGGCTGGCACAAGCTGTCTCCCTGCCACGCGGCGGTGGCACCTTAAAGGCGCAGCGTCCTCTCCCAGCGGCCATCGCCGCCTCCCCCACCTCGAAGCCCGGACCATCGACGTCCCCAGGCGACCTCTGGAGGTCAGGAAGGGCCCGGAAGCCGTCTGGAGGGGTGCGGCAAGGGCGCGCGGGGCACGTGCCATGGAACCCGGCAGGCACGAAGTCAGGGCTGCGAACGCGATCGGGCGGCTGGGGCGCACTGGGCGCAGTGCCAGGCGCGGACGGGGGTCGGTGAGGCGAGAACCCGGAGCTCCGCAGACGAAGGACGAGGAGGAGAAAGAAGCAGCGAGTGGCAGGAGGTCCGTTGGGTGCCAAGGACTTCCTTGGAGGATTTTGCGAGGCCTGGCTCCTCTGTCCCAGCTTACAATGGCACAAGAAGGAAAGATGGGGAAAATCACGACCAGAAGAAGCAATGTTTCCTGGGGAGTAACCAGGGAGGACTTCCTGGCAGAGGAAGCTCTGCCCTTAGCCTTCAGCGGCAAGCAAACAGCCCTCTCAGAGATAAGGGAAAGCGCAGCCGGATGGCTAAGGATGGCTCTGGAAGCTGGAACCACTCACTGTGATCTGGACACAGGGCAAGCTCTGGGCACAGACTTTGCCAAGGACTCTTCCTCTACTTCTCCATGGCAAGGTCCCCTGTTCCTAACAGCATGATCCCCCAGACTTTAGAAAGAGGGACACAGTTTATGATCATGAATAAGCCCAACACGGCACCTCAACAACTTAGTTCAAATGCAGGCGCTGTGCCCACCGCTGGGCCAGTGAGATGGCTCAGCTGGTAAAGGTGCTTGCTGTCAAGCCTGAAGATCTCAGTTTGATCCCCAGGACCCGCATAATGGAGGAAGGGACCGGACTCCCCCAAGCCGTGTTCTGACTTCTTCCACAGTGCTCCCTACACCACACACACACACACACACACACACACCACACACACACACACACACACACACACACACACACTAAAAGGACCTCTGTTGCTAAATTGCTGTTGAATATCCTGAAGTTTCAGGACAGGAGCGCCCCCCAAGGTGTTTTGTTTTGAAGTCTCACTCCATTGTGCAAGCTGGCTTCCAACTGGTGATCTCCTGCCTCAGTCTCCCAAAGGCTGGGGTGGAGTGTGTGTCACCACACTCAGCCAGCACCCTGGTATCTGCCACTTCCTTACTGTGGGACATCAGACAAGCTGTGCCTCTGTACCTCACCCCTGCTGGGGTTTCTTCTCTGGAAAAGAGGAGTTTGCTTCACCCCTAGGCTGTTCCTTCCTTCCCAATGAAGCACACTGAAGAAGCTTGCTGGGCTGGGAAGTGTAGCTCAATGGTCGGGTACTTGTCTGACTTAGCAGAGGTCCTGGGTTCCATCTTCAGCACCAGAAGAGGGAGGAGGGTGAGGCATTGGAAGAAGTACAGGAGGAGGAGGGAGAGAATGCAGGGAGCAGGACGGGGAGAAGGAGGGAGAAGAAGGAAGTCAAAACTAGCTCTGTCTTTGAGAGCAGGCTGTCTTTCCCTGGCCCACCCTGCCTCCCGGGCAGCAGAGGCACCGGTTTCCCCAGGTTAAAGGATGACTTCCCGCCCTGGCTGTGCCCACTGCATACACCCTGCCGGGTAGCCCTTTAAGACTGTTTCCTGTAAGTACCAGCACCTACTGTTTACAGTCAGCCTCCAGTGTCGCCAGCACTCGTGATAGGCTCAAGGGACATGCCAGCCATAGTAGTGTTATGCCCTAGGATTCCCCCAAGGCGGACTTATGGCCCTGATTTCGAAGAAAGACAACTGGCAGAAATCACTGCGGAGCCCCTGTTCTGCCCAACCTGGTCATGCCCGTCCACCAGGCTGGGGCCTCCTCAGAGTGCCCTCTGTACCCCACCATCCTCCTGGTCACCCCTGGCTCTAAGGACCCAGTGGGAAGGAGGCACTAATCCCACTTGCAGCTGAGGAGAAAGAAGGCCAAATGATTTGGCCAAGGCGAAGATGATGCCAGGGTCAGGGGCCTGCTGCCACACTGTGCCCTATATCAGTCTGACCTTCCTGTGAGGATGGGGCTTGGGAGGGGGCCAGGGACAAGGCCACCAATTGCCTCTGCAGAAGCCTGACAGTAAAGCAGAACAAAGACAGTTGGGCAAAGAGAGCCCCAGGAACAAAAACATTTGATAACTAAAGCTGAGCCAGGGCTGGAGGCAAAATCGGCCTCGTCAGGGATGGCCAGAAGCACTCACACCTGTTACCTCAGACAAGGCTCTCTGCTGCCCTCCAAGGCAGGCCTCAGCAATTCATCATGCCCATTTTACAGGAGGGAAGGCTGAGGTTAGGCCATGTGGGCTTAGTGCAGGGATGCGCAAAGAGAAAGAGGTATACAGAGGTAGATCTGTGGTAGGGCCGGTGTCTTGCTCTGGCTGCTCCTCCTCCAACAGTAGGGGAACAGTTGAGGTACCCCACCTGCACTCTGAGACTATTCTGTGTTCCAGTACAGTAGAGCATGGAGCCCATTGCCCAGCCTCCTGGGTGGACTTTCTGGGGGTGGTGACATTTTGGCAGAAAGGGGCAGAGGTGTGCTCCGCTGTGCGACAGTGGGGACAGAAGTTCTGAGACTGGGAACGAGGCAGTGAAAAAGCGACCAGAGAGCCCTGCCGAGGGTAGAAACTGCTGGAGTGGGAGATTATCACAACCAGGATTGCATCTCAGACAGGCTGAGCAGTGTGGGCAGTCTGGACTCTTCAAGGCGAGTGGAGGAGGGGGCAGACCCTGTGAGAGAGAAGGTGCAGCAGGGCAGGGCTCAGCTGTGTTCTGACTCCATTTTCTCAAGAGTCACATTCATGCATCCAGGCTGGGGGTAGGGACGCTGGGGAGTCACTGAGCTAAAAGACTTGGGAACCGAACAGGGAGTCTACCACAGGACAGATAGCAGTCCGGTGAGACCACGTGCCATGAGGCCCGGTGACAGTAAAACAGAGCCTGTTGCCCAGGAAGGGCACAGCAGTCGAATCTGAGAGCACCGAGTGGAGGCCACGCCCCCTCCGAGCCTATTTCTGGGAATGACCTGTGTGGGTTTGTTTTGGTTTTTTTCTTGGTTTGTTTTTTGCTTTCCAGACCCCAGGTTGGCCCGCAGTTCTATTTAGTGGAGAATGACCTTGAACTTCTGGGCTCACAGGAATGCACTGCGGGTCAGACCTCCGAACTTGGCAAGCTTTCTACCAACCGAGCTACACGTTCTGTCTCCCAGAATCCCATCTGTGCCAGGAGATCCCCTGGGCATGTCTGAGACCCTGGTTTTGCCTCAGGAGACTCCAAATGACTCCATTGCACCCCACCCTCACCTCGTCTCTCTCTCTCTCCAGCCAAGCAGTAGGGGTGATCTGCGAGCCCCAGACTAAAAATCTCAGAAATAGCTGCTATGATGAAACAGGAGACAAGAGGGAGACCTTCCAATAGGAGTGCTGCCCTGAGGGAGGCCGGGAGGGCTCCCAGGAGGCTTTTGGGAAACTTCTGGGCTAGGAAGATGAGGAAGATGAACCTGAGTACTGAGAAAGAACTCTTCTCACAAAAGCAGGGTGCAGAGGTCAAAGGTTATAGGGTCAAAGGTCACTACACTTTTGGAGCCAGGGTACAGCCTGAGGCAGCTGGCTTGGCTGGAGGACTTAGCCCCTCTTCCACCTGTCATTTGTCTTGGGTCTTGAGAAGCGGATGGCAGCAGTGGTCCAAGGACTCTCAGCTCCTGCTAGGCCCTCCCGGTTCTGGGTGGGACAGAGGCCCAGGCCTGGGCGCGGCCGAACCCCGGTCAGGCCAGGAGGTCCATCCATCAGAGGAGGGGGCTACACCTCGCCGGCCTCCCCTCCCCCTCCCCAGTGGCACCACGAGGCACGCAGCCGCATATCACCCGTGCCAGCCCTCACCTCCCGGCAACGTCGCCGCATTCTCAGCCACGCCATCTGGCGTGCCCGTCGCTTCCCGGCACACTGCGGCGGGCGGGGGAGGGGGCAGCGGGGCAGGTGCCCACCCTGGAGCCAGGAGGAAACGGCAGGTCCCCCTCCCCCAGCGGCCTTGGCGCTCGAGGTGGGGCAGGGGCCTGGGGAAGGGGGGTGGCAGGTGCTCTTGGGCTCCGGGTGGAGCTCCTGGAGCTCGAGCATCCGAAGGGCTGGAGGAGGCGCCCCCTGGGCAGTGCCAGTCGGTGCCTCCTGCCTCCTCCCCCAGCACAGCGCCTGCCAGGAGCTCAGGACCAGGAGGGTCTCCCTCCTGCCCTTCCCCCACACCGCAGGAGGAGACCGGGCTCCCTTCACCTGTCCACCCAGCCAGGGAGGCCCCAGGAGAGCCATGTCTGGCTGAAGCCAGGGGGTGGACACCTGGATCTGACCCACCTGCTCCCTAGGCCCACTTCGGTGGGAGAGCACCCTCCTTGCTCACACAGGCCAGCTACCTGTCTTCTTTGGGGGCACCAGGTGACTGGCTAGCTATCCTTCGGAGGGTCAGAATAGAGGGGAACATTTACAGATTCACATAGGAATGATTTATTGGGGGAGAGCAAGGGTTGTACAAAGAGCAGTTTTCCAGCACATTCTTCCTATCCCCTGAGCAAGATTCCCCAAGACTGCTCAGGAATGACCTGTCTCTCTGCCCTCTGCCACCCTCTCTCTGCCCTCTCTCCTCCTTCATGCCTACCTCAACCTTCTTACCCCTGCCCCTCATGCCCCAGCCAGAACAAAATGGCTGCTGCCCCTTTGAGGCAGCCATTTTAGGTGCCCAGACTGTGGACTCCCTTGGGATGGGGCTATGTCTCCATGGGAACCTCAGGCCCCCAGCTCCCTGCTCCCACCCTGAGGTGTGGGCAGCAAAAATGGAAGTCTTCCAGGTCTGGTTGAAGTGCCCGCCACTCTCCTTTTCCTCTCAGAGACCTGGAGGGGACCAGGCCCCTCACCAACTCCCTTCCCCCAATGCCACGGGGAGGAACAGATGGCATCTCTGGGTGTCCTTCTCCTTTCGTCTCCTTCCTTCCATTTCTGGCTCTTTCTGTCTTTCCGTCACTGGATCTCTGAGCACAGAGAGGAGCGTGCATGTCCCGGCGTGCTAATGCCTGCTCGTGTGTATGTGGACACACGTGTTGTACCTCTTTGGAGCTCATGTCTGAGGCAGGCCCATCCTACACATCCCCCTGTTCCAGTTTCCCCTTGGTTTTTATTGTATCTTCTAAAAAAGCTGAAGTTGAAATGTGTCGAGTGAGAAAAACTTGCTCCATTTTCCTGAAGAAGAAAAGAGGGGTCAGGAGCGGGCCCAGTTGGGTGAAGTTCTCTGAACCCCAGGCCTGACCACCCCACCCCCTACCTCAGGCCTCTGCCTGCAGGAGCCCCTTAAAGAGTCCTTTCAGAGCTAGAAAACAGAGAGTGCTAGGCGGCCTTACAGAGTGCTCCCCGAACGAGGTCTGCCCTCACCCGGAGGGCCCATCAGACCCCAGTGGGCTTAACCCAATTCTTGATGTTTTTCCCTGCCAAGGAAGCATTCATCCATTTACTCATTCATACCTTCACCCTTTAATTTAACAAAACTTTGGATTCTTTGTAGACAAAACATTTTAATTGGGGATGGGATCTATGCAAGAAATTAATAATATGAAGCAAGTTACAATTTGCAAAGTGTCTTAATAAAAATAAAGGCTGCCATTTATTTGAAGATTCTTTTATTGCTGGATCGTTAACCCATCATCCTACTTAGTGTTAGCAACAGCCCTATAAAGGGGCAGAATGATAATCTCCATTTCATAGACAGGGAAATCAAGCCTGAGAAGGAGTTTGCTTGTTATGGGATTCAAACCCAGGGCCTTGGGCTCTCCAGGCAAGGACCAGCCCTGGGCAAAATCCCCAGCCTGGAATTCAGTTGGTGTTTTGTTTTGTTTTTCGAGACAGGGTTTTTTTGTGTAGCTTTGGTTATCCTGGAACTTACTCTGTAGTCCAGGCTGGCCTCGAACTCACAGAGATCCACTTGCCTCTGCCTCCCAAGTGCTGGGATTAAAGGTGTGCACTACCACCACCTGGCCCAGCATTTTCTTTTACAAAGTGATGGTGCAGCCCTTTAATCCCAGCCCTCTGGAGGCAGAGGTGAGTTCAGGTCTAGCCTGGTCTACATAGTGAATTCCAGGATAGCTAAGAGTACATAGTGAGAACCCATCTCAAAAACAGAACGAGGGACTGGAGAGATGGCTCAGAGGTTAAGAGCACTGGCTGTTCTTCTAGGGATCTTGAGATCAATTCCCAGCAACCACATGGTGGCTCACAGCATCTGTAATGAGATCTGGTGCCCTCTTCTGGTGTGCAGGCAGAAAACTGTATACATAATAAATAAATAAATCTTAAAAGCAAAACAACGAAATGAAAAGTTGGTGAGCAGAGTTGACTGAAAATCAGAAGCTCCTATGGTGTAGGCAACCCAAAACTGGAGGGGCCCTTGCCAAGCCTCCCGCAAAGTCCGTCACCTTACTTCTGCCTCTGCCATGATTCCGCTTCCCGACCTCACAGTCCGGCTCTCTGACTTAAGAGGGGCTCAACTTCCTAATTCAGAGCCTATAAAGAGCTTCTTTCCCTTGGAGACCACCAAGACAGTCGTGGGCTTAGTCTGGTTTTGCTCTCTCCCTGTCATATACCTAGCTACATCCTTTTCCCTGCACTGGCCTCTCTGGAAGGAAGAGCAAGTTGCCTCTGACTTTCTTTCAGCGCCTGGCCTCCAAGCACCCTGGACAGCTCCAAATCCCCTTTCTCGAGACCTTCCAAGACAGTGTGTCTCTATGCAATACCCTGTTCAATCTGCAACATTAGATCCATGTCTTAACAGTCCAAGATCCCCTTGAGGAAGTTAATCTGGGCAAGACTAGAGGACATCCACCTGGATTGAGGGATTGGAGGAGAACCCTCCTTTCTCTTTGTTTTGTGCCATTCAGGGTAGGCTGAAGAAGACCAGGGGACAGACAGGAAATTTGGGCCTGAAAGCAGCACCTACCTGAATCCAGAGTGGCCAGAGTCTCTGTCACTATCCCTTAGCTGTGAGTATTTGCACAGACACACACACACATACACACACACACACACACACACACGTTGTCTCTCTGAATAAGGGTGTTTCCATTTTCCGCACCACATACTGAGGAGCAGGGGTGGCAGGTATGGGCTCCTATCTTCAACCTGTACCATTTACATCTGTGTCTGGCATGCTAAGAGGGTTGAAAGGAGATCTATAAAGTAAAATAAAGCATTCATTTCCTATCTCCCTTAGCAAGACACCTGCCTGGCTCACCCCTGGCCTCTGCTTTTTGTGTTTTCTGTAGGGCGAGAATGTTTGGGTCCCACCTAGGAACTCTGGGCTGTCCCCAGTCAGCCATATCCTCCCTTCAGCTAACCAAAAGCAAGCCACTACCTCGCAAGGATTAGGGATAGTAAGGACATAAGGAGGAGGAAGAGTAAGGTTTGTGGGTTAGGAATTCAGATCTGTGCCCACCCTAGCCCCAGATGGGGGACACATGGTTCACCTCCAAGTTCCTCCCCACCTCAGCCCAGCATACATGTGCCCTTGACATCCAAGGAAGCGTCTCCTATGTAATGACTCCGCAGATAGACACACATGTCCCCACAGACACACACACACGCCCATGCAGAGAGACAGACACCCAGGCAGGCAAATCTTTTCCTTTCTCTGTCTTTCCCTTGGTTTGAATTTCGTTCAGCCACATATGTTGTGTGTGCATGAGGGTGGGTGGGGGAGGGGCAGACAGGGATGAGGGATGGCATGATGCCAGCATCTACCTATGGGGCTTGGGTCAGGGATGCCCCCCACACCCACTCTGGAAGGAGGCCTCAGCTGTCCCTTTGTGGTGGAGGGGACTCTCTTGGGGAGTGGGAGTAAGCACTGAGGTCCCTTCTCCATACTCCAGGGTCTGATTCTGACCCACCTTAGGGACCAGGAAACAGGGAAATGGACAGATCAAGACCCCGGAGAGAGTCTAGAATTGGCCGCCACCACAAACCTCCAATTCCCAGACTTGCTACCCCATTGTTCCCATATGGGGGGCTCTATATCTGAGGGGGGCAAATCCTCCCACCTCCCTCTCAATCCCTGCTTTCCTTGCGTTGGGCGGGGAGGGGAGGGCGGCAGAGATATTTATTTATTTCCTTTATTTATTTAATTTTTTTTTTTTTGGAGTAGAGAGTGACAGATGGCGGCGGGTCCCGGGGGAGCCGGCTCTCCCCCAATGCAGACGCATGCCAATCACCGTCTCTCATGTGATAGCTGCTGCCCGTGACGTGCCAAGCCCATATGGCCTGGCATAGAGGCTGGTACCCCGCCTGGTAGAGATGCCACACTCGCTCCGCGGCTCGCATGGCGCTCTGAAGACGCCGGCGCCCGCCGCCTTGAGGAACCGCTGCCCCCGCTCCCTGAAGATGGGGGAACAATGAAATAAGCGAGAAGATTCCTCTTCTCCCCCCTCTCTCTCTTGCCCCCTCCCCCTCCCCTCCCCTCTCCCCTTGACTCCTCTCTGAGGTAAGTTGTCCGAGAGGGAGCTAGATCTGACCTGCCCATTGGGAGGGGGGCGCTGCTTCGGGCATGAAAGTCCCCCAGATTCCTCATTCCTGGGACTCTACCCCCTCACTGGGTGGGCATGAGGCGCCCTGGGTTCTCTCTCCCATTGGGGCCGCAGCTCAAGGGGCTACGTTGAGAGACCTTATGCCTAGGATGGTCTGGGGGGCAGGGTCATGAGGTACGCGAAGAGGCAAAGATGGGGACCCCCGCCCCATGACTGTCCCGAAGGAACCTGCGACCTTTCCCTGTCACCAAAAAAGATAAGCAAACAAACAAATTTGGATTTTTCCCCATGGATCCCAAAATACAACGAGATCTGAAGAGACGTGTGGGAGGGAGGCAGTTCGAAGGGGGGAAGGGGGTCCCTGACCGTAGGGGAGACGAACAGGGTTCGCTTCTGGGTCTCCTCCCCACGCCCGGTTTCTTCAGTCCTCGCCACCCGGAGCCGGCTCCGGGAGACCCGGACGCAGCAGCTAAAGGAGACGGTGCTCCGGGCGTCTGGAATCGGGGCTGCGGGGGTGGGGGCCGGGCCGGGGGCGGCGCGCGGCCAACTTGCAAATTGGATTAGGGAGCGTGGGGGTGAGAGGCACCGGAGGGCAGGGGGAGTCGGGCCGAGGGGCCCGGGCCGCGGAGCCAAGGAACCGGGCAGCTGTCCCCACGGCGGCCGCCCAGCTTTTCTCCATCACCCGGAGAGAGCAGGTTTTTGGGCGAGAGCACCGCCTCCCCCGGCAGAGGAACCGGTCCACGCTCTCTGGGACCCAGACACCGGCCTGGAGCGGCCTCCTTTGCGGCCAGGGGCGGAGCCGGGGCCCGGCTCTGGGGCTAGAGCCTGGGCCGCGGAACCCCACCGGCAGCCGGGCAGGGCTGGGCCGGTTCTGGGCGGGGCAGCGGGACGTGGTGGGCATCGGGGGCCCCCTGAGCTGGAGCGCGCACCGAGACTAGGGGGTGGTGGCGGGTTGGGGGGCCGTGGTGACCCTGGCGCGCCGCTCACTCTGTGTTGTCTGTCTCCCCGCCCCCGGGGCGCCCTCAGGCACCATGCTGACCCGCCTGTTCAGCGAGCCCGGCCTCCTCTCGGACGTGCCCAAGTTCGCCAGCTGGGGCGACGGCGACGACGACGAGCCGAGAAGCGACAAGGGCGACGCGCCACCGCAGCCTCCGCCTGCTCCCGGGTCGGGGGCTCCAGGACCCGCCCGGGCCGCCAAGCCAGTGTCCCTTCGTGGAGAAGACGTCCCCGAAGCCACGTTGGCCGAGGTCAAGGAGGAAGGCGAGCTGGGTGGTGAGGAGGAGGAGGAAGAAGAAGAGGAGGAAGGGCTGGATGAGGCTGAAGGCGAGCGGCCCAAGAAGCGCGGGCCGAAGAAACGCAAGATGACCAAGGCGCGTCTGGAGCGCTCCAAGCTGCGGCGACAGAAGGCCAACGCGCGGGAGCGCAACCGCATGCACGACCTGAACGCAGCGCTGGACAACCTGCGCAAGGTGGTACCCTGCTACTCCAAGACGCAGAAGCTGTCCAAGATCGAGACGCTGCGCCTAGCCAAGAACTACATCTGGGCTCTCTCGGAGATCTTGCGCTCCGGAAAGCGACCGGATCTGGTGTCCTACGTGCAGACTCTGTGCAAGGGGCTGTCGCAACCCACCACAAATCTGGTGGCTGGCTGCCTGCAGCTCAACTCTCGTAACTTCCTCACAGAGCAGGGCGCGGACGGCGCCGGCCGCTTTCACGGCTCGGGTGGTCCGTTCGCTATGCACCCGTACCCGTACCCGTGCTCTCGCCTGGCGGGCGCACAGTGTCAGGCGGCCGGCGGCCTGGGCGGAGGCGCGGCGCACGCCCTGCGGACCCACGGCTACTGCGCCGCCTACGAGACGCTGTACGCGGCGGCGGGTGGCGGCGGTGCCAGCCCGGACTACAACAGCTCCGAGTACGAGGGCCCGCTCAGTCCCCCGCTCTGTCTCAACGGCAACTTCTCACTCAAGCAGGACTCGTCTCCCGATCACGAGAAGAGCTACCACTACTCTATGCACTACTCGGCGCTGCCCGGCTCGCGGCCCGGAGGCCACGGGCTGGTCTTTGGCTCGTCGGCCGTGCGCGGGGGCGTCCACTCCGAGAATCTCTTGTCTTACGATATGCACCTTCACCACGACCGGGGCCCCATGTACGAGGAGCTCAACGCGTTTTTCCATAACTGAGACCTCGCGCCGACCCCTTTCTTTTTCTTTGCCTTTGCCCGGCCCCTTAATCCCAGCCCCGCGAGCTCGGGGGGCTCCCACCGACTCCAGCGCCAGGTGCGCGGGGCGTGGGTCGCCGGTTCTGCGCCTCTCTAGGGCTGGCGCGGTCTCTTACCTGTGGGTGGCCCGTCCCAGGGGCCTCGCTTCTCCCTGGGGACTCGCCTGCTCTCTCCCAACGGGCTTCCTCCCTTCTCCAGTGGAGTGCATCTCTGGGGACCTCCCTCCCGGCTCTCCCTGGAGACTCCTTCTGCATTCCCAAACTTGGGTTTTCTCTCTCCACCTCCCAGTAGGCCAGAAGGCTTTGGTAAGGGGCAGCTGAGTTTCGGGATAGTGTCTCCGCTTAGGAAACTTTAAAAAAAGACACTGAGCTGCCCAGGCCGAAAGGAGTTGGTGTCTCTTCCTTCTCGAAGAGGGCAAAAGCCAGGGCGCTCAAACGCCTTCACCCCAACCCTAATCTCCGCGTTTTTTAATTTTTATTTTAGTGGGAGGGGATGTGGATTGAGAGGAAAGAGAGAGGCCAAGCCAATTTGTAACTAGAATCATGTTTCCTTTTCCCTTTTTAAAAAAAAAAAAACAAATAATACAAAAGAAAAAAAAAAAGCTAAGAGGCGACAAAGGCCGAACTCAGAGTCCGGATCGGAGAGAAAACGCAGTAAGAACTTTTAGAAGCAATAAAAGGCAAAATAATAATAATATTAATAATAAATACTACCAATAATAATTTTTAAAGAGACACAAATATCTATGCAAGAAGGTTCTGACTGAGCCTAGCAGCCCGGCCCGGGGTGCCCCCTGGGTCCGCTGGCTGCACCGCCCAAGCGCGGATCAGTGCACTTTGGTGAAGTGGGGGCCCGCGCCGCCCCTCCCCCCCAGGTTCTTACAATCAATGACTCGGAGATTTGGAGCCCCAGTGCCACTGCCCTCCCCCACCCTGTCCCGTTGTGCGTCATACTGTTTTCTAAAAACCTGTTTCCAAATTTGTATGGAATGGCAAACTGTTGGGGGTTCGGTTTGGGGAGGGAGGGTTTGCATGAGAGACACACACGCACACCACACCATACCGCACGCACACGCAGGCCCGACACGGGCGTCCGGGGACAGAAGGAAGTGAGTCTCCTGGCTCCTCCTCTCTACAGGCACTCCAGTCCCTCTTAGGTGAAGGTGGAGGAGCCCAGACCTGGGGGCAGCCCTACCCCTGCCCAGACTGTGCCTCTGTGGGCGCCAAGCTCCTGGTGACTTCTGGTGGCTGGAGAGGTTTTTTGTTTTGTTTTGTTTTGTTTTGTTTTGTTTTGTTATTGTCGTTGTTGGGGGAAATTTTTGTTGCTGTTGTTGCTTTTGTTTTTTGTTTTGTTCTGTGTTTTGGTTCTAGGCTCCTCCTGACTTTTGTCATCCAGTGAGCTGGGAGAACTGAGGGCCCCTTTTGGAGATTTCCGGCAAAAGAGGCAACAGGTGAACCTCTCCGCTCCAGAGGCAGGGAATCAGGCACCCAAACACTCGATGCAAAAAACGCAAACCCACAGGCGACACACCCCACACACACGCAATTTTACCTTCCTCTTGTAGTGAAGATGAAACTCCCGTCGGACACCCGAAGTGCATTGCGTGTTTCTGTTGAGTTTAATGACGATTAATAAATATTTATGTAAATGAGATGCAAAGCAGACCCGCTTTCTCACAGTGGCCTCCTTTTACGGGTGGGGACAGGGATTGATCTGGGACTGAGGTGATGGAGCAGTCAAGCGACTGCTCAGAAGCCTGAGAGAATGACTGTGGGCATTCCTGGGTGGGCTTTCCAAACTGTAAGACCTTCGCACACACCCAATGGGCTGATAAACAGTCACACTTGCTGCCCCTTCTAGGCCCCACCCAGGTTTATACTGCACCCAACACAAAGCACCCCTGTGGTCTACTTACTTCATTCAGCTCCCAAACACACTCAAGGATCTCTGAAAACAAAACATTTTTCATCAATGAAAAAAATTATCAAAATGGGACCATCTCACAACCCCTGGCTTACTGTCACACACACACACACACACACACACACACACACACACACACACAAAGTAAGTGCAAATAATGAGGACGTCTGAGACAGACATGGATTTTCTTGAATTAAAAAAAAAGATCATGAGGATAAAATATTAATGGAGAAATCCCCTTCCTACCTTAAATTTGTATTTCAGTGGCTTAAAGGAACGAATTTTTCTGGGGTCAGGGATATTGATTTTTTTTTTTGAAGTATGGATAAGTCTATGAGGTGGCTGTATCTGGAGAGGGACCCAGGTTAAGGACAAGACCCAACCATGAGCAAAAGGAAACAGCACCAATTAATACCTGCGCAGCCTCCTTCCCTGCTTCAGGAGAAGAGAAAAGAGGCGCGGTGGGAAACACGTAGGAAGACCCTCTTTCACTCAGACCCCAGTTTCTCCCCTTTAACTCCTAGATGCAGAGGCAGCTAGCTTGGAGTAGACTTTCCCCCAAAAGATGCCTCCTCCCTCTGAAATATTTGACAGGGATTCTGGGTCCTAAAAACTCAAACCCGAGGAGACTTAGGAATTCCCTTAAAGAAGCCACCCTTGATGCTTTTTCCCCTCTCAAACACCATCAAACATTTTAGGATTGGAGTGAGGTTCAGGGTTGAGGTCAGACACACTAAGCTAAGGGCTCCGAGGAAGAGAAGGAGGAGGAAGAGAGAGGAGGAAGTCTGGATGTCAAAGGGCTCAGAGGAAGCTGTAAGTGTGCTCAGCGATGCCACTAAATGCCCACACTTAATCTTTAGTCTTCTGAATAAAAACAATGCCCGCCCCCCCTTTGCCTCTTGGCAGACAGAGGGACAAATCGGGAGCTGTCCACTCCATGGTGCTGACTGATCTCTGACATTTTTCCCTTCTTGCTGCCGCAGGAGGCCAGCGCCTGGAACAGCCGAGCAGAGCCCATCGGAATTCTCCTGCAGGGAGACTTCCTAGGAGACTTTCATTGTTAATTCTTTAAAAATGTTCACCTCACCACGTTCTCTGGATATCTCTCAGGACCACCTCTCTAGAGTGAGAGTGAGCCCTTTGTCACTGGGATTCTTCTCTGTGGGTGGCTAATGAGATCTAACAGATCTCTGAATCACTTTTATTCTTTAGAAAAAGGTTTTGGTCCATCTTCTCTGTCCTTCACTTCGGTGGAGAATGAGAGTTTGCAAGATGCACATTCTAACCCTGACCTGAAGGAGCTGGTCTGTGCCTAGTGTTGGGCATGGCTTGGCAGGGGCATTTGGAAGAAAAGGAATTCAGTTTCATACCAGGGTGTGATCCTTGTCTTGCCCTGGAAACAAGGTTAATTGGGCTTCTCTCCCACTCAGCTGTTTTCCCAGGACTTGCTCTGAACTCCAAGCTGGGCAGCATCCAGGTGGCTTGGGGCCGGATGTAAAGGGCCCCTCCACGTGGCTGTCCTGGCTAGAATACAGACTCCTCTACATAGATCTTCCAGCTACCTCACACTGTTTTATTCTATTCTGAAGCCAGATTCCAGCATCCTTTGAAAGATGATGATGACTCTGGGGCCCTTGCATCTATGGGTCAGGCCATGTGGGGATGCAAGGACTCTTTGGGGGGCAGGAACACTGGATCCCCTGATTCTAATAAATGCCTCCAGCAGCCAACTCCAATTCTTGACCTTCCCCCATGCTCCCTGAACTCTGGCTGACTCCTGTCTCCCACCACCACCCTCCTCCCCAACACAACACTTAACTGCCCTGGTGAGATGGGAAGATGAGCAGGAGAGGAAGATGTGCACGGACACCCGGCCCCAGACGCCCCTCACAGATCTCTTTCTCTCGCTTGGCTTGCCTGCACACACATCCAGAGAAGCTCCACGAACAGAAGGAGGGGGGAGGTGAAAGGGCGCTGGTATGGCTTGGGGCAGGGTGGTGAGCAGGAGCAGAAAGTGTAGAGAGGATTCCTTTCTTTCCCTAGCCAAAGCTGCAGGCTCTCCAAGCAGTCCACACCCTGCTCACAATAACCCCTGAACTGCCCCAACCCTGCGGCTGTAGCCAGATCCAATCTGGAGGCTGATTTCTCTTTGCATTTTCCAGCCCCCATCCCATGCCTAGCATTTGAAAATGGCAGGGAAACAGAGATACTTATCAGGTTGTGATAGCAAAGGAATGTGTAGCTACTTCTCCCCTCACCATTGAATTCCACCCTAACCACCACCTGGATGGTGAGTCACTGTCCACCAGTGAAACTCCAGCTCTGATTTTATCACCTAGGGTAATAGCAGGATAAACCACTGGGGGAGGCAAGAAAGCTGTGTCCTACCTGGTCCTACCTGGACCAGTGACTGGGAAGCCCTCCACTCCAGCTCACTCAAAACAGTGTGCCAGTTTGTCTTCCCTCCATAAATCCATAGCCACCAGATTCAGGATCTGGGGGCAGAGGTCAGAGATTTCGTTCTCTTTTGCCCAACCTTGACTTCCTCCTCTTCCAGGAACCTTTAACAGGAAGCCACTTGTTCTAGAAGCTTCAAGGGATCTTCCATGGACTGCAGTACTAAATGTGACTCTAGATCACACAGATTAGTTTTCCAGGTAGAAGGGGTAAAAGACAGCCTCAGTCTTGACCTCCACTCCCAAGCCTGAACCACAGCACAACAGAGGACCAGGGCAGCCCAAGGCTCCATTCTGACCAGTATGGACAGTTCAAACAGTTCAAAGGGGAAAACTAAGTGGAGACCAAGCCTGCACTGCGGGGACAGGTTCCCAGACTCCAGTCCAAGATGCTAGCTGTTTTCTATTTTTTTTTTTTCCTTCTGAGATTGGGTAACTAGATGTTGGCCACTGGCCTAGAGTGAAGGTGACACCTGAACTCCGAGAAACCTGGAAACCCTGCTCTGCCCTGGTTCTGCATCTTGATATTTATGTATTTATTTGCACCTAAGCCTTCAAAAATTCTCCACAAAGTTTCCCTAGGTGAGCAGGGTGCTCCTGCCTCAGGAAGACTATCTTCCTGTTGGAACTTTACCCTGAAACCCAGGGTTCAGAGTGGCAGGCTTTGCACAGAGTGCAGAAAGCCAGCCCTGGGTAGGGCTCACCTGGGGGAGGGTACGGAAAACTTGCAGGGAGAGGTCAGGGTTGCTCTTTCCTAGTCCCATAATAAGGAGGGAAGAAATTAGGGAGCGCTGAAGGAAGAGGATGAGGTTCCACTTTTAAGCACTAGCCATGCCAAGGGAGGTGGGGCACATCTTCCAGCTGTGCCCCTGGATGTCTCTGGTGCTGCCAGCTCTGTTTGCTCCCACGCGGGAGCCCAGCTTCTCCGAGACAAACTGGGGGTGCACAGTTCACTTCCACACCCAGAGTGTGTGCCTGGTGTTTCATGATTCCAACGTTCCTCAGTCTCTTTGCCTCCCTCAAGCCCTGTTTGTATCTCTTTCCTTGTTCCTCTTTTTGGAATTAATTGAATTAGGAACTGGTCTTTCTGGGGTTTTCCCGCCACCTCCTGCCTCAGGTTGAGCTGGCCAGGAGGCCAAGACTGAGAGGTCAGGTCCCTCTGGGGCCTCAGGAGCTCACAAACCCTTTGGGGACCCGCATGCCAGTTCCTATCCTCAGCCAAGACTTTGCCAAGGGCACAGCTGGGCGGGGTCTGGGCAGTCCGCCCGGCTTGGGACATCTGTTCTAGCCAGAGTCGCATTAAAAGCGAGTAGTGGGGGTAGGGGGGCTCAGGACCAACCCCTCAAAACCCAGGCCTGTGCCGGCCTTCTCCCCCACAGCCAGAGGCAGGAGAGGACCCGGGAGGCATTTGGGCTTGTTTTTTTCTCTCTTGGGAACAGAGCGAAATTTGGGGTGAGGTCAGGTGGGGCGTTCTCTCTTTCCTTAGTCTGTCTCATCCACTTCCTCCTCAGATGTCACAAGGGGCTTCCCTCCGACAGGGAGGGCAGTAAAGCACTTCAGCCTCTCTCCGGCCGCTGGGGAGCCCCTGAAGGCGCTGACGCCGGCAATTCAGCGGAGGCTGCGGCCCGACGGAGAGCTGAACCCGCTTGCTGCGAACTGGGTTCCCAGGCCGAGGCTGGGGCTCCGCACAGAGGGAGAGCTAAAAACAACTCAATTAAAATATCTAAAATATTTGCCTTTATATGGAAGACTGGGCGGTACTTTAAAAGAGAGAGAGAGAGAGAGAGAGAGAGAGAGAGAGAGAGAGAGAGAGAG